AGTTTTATCCCAAATGGGTTTTTTCGGTGAGGTTTTTAACGAGGCAACAACTATGTTCTACCTAAGGAGAATTCAACAGTATCCAAGGCTTCTTTTCAATCAACCTCGAATACTGGGGGTCATCACCCTCGGAGGTTATATTTTCGAGAAAAATACTTCACGCCAAAGAGGGCATTGGTAGGAAAACTTTGTAATGGGCCAAACGGTCAGATGAACCGTGTCCATATAGAATAGTCGAGCTCCGATGGCAAAATATGTACGCATGTATCAATTATTCAAAGAAGCATTCGGTCTATATCAAAACACTTTGTATCTAAAAGAAACTTGCTACTATGCGAACATAAACGGCTAAAGGACCAAAACGTGAATACACCTCGAGTACTCGGGGACTGTCATTGACAGTCAACATATTTGAATATCTAAACTCGAATTTATAAGACCTCAAAAAGGCATCCCTCTACGCAAAGGCTAAGGCCATCATACTCGGGAACTAACCTTTCGGACAAGTTCGAAAGGTTATCGGGAAACAAGTCCAAGAGACACACCCAAAGGCTACGGCCACATTAAAGACTACGGTCATATAAAAAGGCTACAGCCGAAATAATGCGGGTCGGAGATGTCCGACTTCCGCCATAAGTTAAAGGTCTTAAAATACTTTGAAAAAACTAGTTAAATAAGGCTACCCTCGTAAAGAAAATAAAAAAGGGCTTCGAAAAAATCAGTCCTCGAATAATTTAAAGTCTTTGATAATATCAGCCTTCGAAAAAGCCTCAAGAGGTATTAAATTGTCTTAACACAAAAGGGTTAAGAAAAAATTGGGTTCTGATCGATTCAGCCCTCGAAAAACCTTACGGGTACAAAAACACATGCTAAGGCATAAAGAAATTTTGACCAAGTCTTTTAGCCGAAAAGAGGGAAAAACTATATCCGCTATAGAGGCCGAATTTGCCCAACTTAAAGAGCCTAAGGGCCAACCTAAAAAGAGCCTAATGGCCGATAAAAAAGAGCCTAAGGGCCGATATAAAAGAGCCTAAGGGCCGATTTGGTTAGCCTAAAAGGTCAATACAATTAGAGTTCGAGACCTCGTTCTCACCCAATTCAAACCCTGGGGTTCGATTATCCCAAACCTAAACAAATAATGGTTTGATTATGGCTCGGGGACTCATCATTACCCAGTTATGAGCCCGTAAAGGTCTATGCCCAAAAGCTCAAACTTATTCGAGCTCGACCATGGCAGTTTCGAAGAAAACATCCACAGTTAAAGAGGATAAAGCCATTGCAAGAATTTTACAAGGCAAGAAATATCGAAATTCTTCTTTTATATATGTCAAAAAAGATATATACAAGGGACCAATAAAAGGTCTTACAAAAAAGAACGATACAATAAGAAAGGAAAACCCTATCTATGCCTAGGGCTGGTCTCTCCTTCGGGAGCAGTTTCCCCTTCGGGCCCAGCTTCATCATCGGACCCGCTCTGGATAACTTCATCATCGTCATCGTCGTTGGAGGAAATGAGAAACTTGGCATCGGCCTCGAGTGCTTTTGCTTGGGCTATCTTCTCGGTGAGGTCGAAACCTCGAGCATGGATCTCTTCGAGGGTCTCCCTCCGAGATTGACACTTGGCCAAATCACTGACTCGTTTCTCCCGGTTGGAGGCTTCCCTCAATTACATTTGAGCAGCCTTTGGCATCCTTTAGGTACACAGCAATGGTCTTGTCAGCCGAGGCCTTCATCCTCTCAACCTCGGCCCTGGCTTCAGCAACCTCAGCCCCGGTTGCGGCAAGTTTGGCCTCGATCTCATCGATCTTCGTGGCCTGAGCTAGATTTTTTACTTTGACTTCCTGAAGCTGAGTTTCAGCCGAGGCCAGGTTGGCTAGGGTAGCCTATTTCTCACCAGCAAGTCGATCCATGTTTTCCTTTCACTGGTTGCAGTCGGCGTTAACTTGATCGACCTCCCCTCGAAGCTACCCAATCATATTCAATTTCTGCTACATCTGAAACACTGAAGTGTTAGCCTCCAAATTTGAGTCAACGAGACCATACTTCTGCAAAACGATGGTTACCTGCTTGTCTAGCTCGGCCTCATTCTGACGAGCTTTGGCCAAATCTGCCCGGAGGTCCTTGAGCTCCTCCTCCTTTTAGATGCAAAGAAGCCTCAAAGCCTTCCCTTCATCCGGGGATCTCTTAAGCTCGGCCTAATATTTGCTCAGCTCGGCCCTAAGCTTGGTAATGGCCTACACAGAGAAAAGAGATGTCAGTTGATACAGAAGGAGAAGGAAAAATTTGTAGTAGTAAGAGGTAGTGCTTACCCGAGAGAAGAGACGATGGGCCTCTTCAAAGAGGTAGATGCATCATTGAGGTCGTCGGCATCATCGACCCCAGTAAAGCAATCCCGAAAAGGATCTTCCTCAAGGACCCTATCCGGGTCGGGCGTTCGCAGATCTTGGGCGTCCTTTATTTCCTCCTCAGAATAAGATGGTAGAGGAGGGGAGTGACTTATTGTCATGGCCCCGAGCAAGTCGCTCGAGGCACTCTGTTCAGCCTCGGGGTTTTTGGTACTCGCCCCCTTCGGTGTACTTGTTGAATGAGGGGGAATAATCTCAATCTCAGGGGACTCGGGGGCCTTGCCCGCATTTTTCTTCGGAGCCTCCTCTTCACGAGGCAGGGTTTCCGATTCAGAAGACTTGACGGCCTCAGTTGGCTTCCTGGTTCGGGTCACCAACTCCGACTCTTCGCCCTCATCCTTTTCTTCATCATTCAGTTGGTGGATTGAGTCTATGTCCACTTGGATGAGTTTTCTCCTCTGCCTTCGAGTAGGGGCTTTCTTGTCTTGGGGGTCTTCAGGCTTCGAAGCCCTTTTCCTCTTGTTATCTTTCCTCTATTTTTGGACCGGGGACTCGGTCTCTTCCCCGGGCGGGCCTGGCCTCATCTCGGAGACATCTCCGATGCCTGCATGAGTGAAAAATAAACATAAGTGAGATGACATCTCCAATAAAAGGGAAAGCATCAAAAACCTGGGAGAAGAACTAACCGTGATGTTTGGCTTCCCATTTGCCCCTCGACAAATCACGCCATTTGCACTCGTCATACGAGGAGGTCACGGCTAGTTTCAGGACCCAGCCTTCGAGGCCAAGGATCGTATGGGGCATCCAAGCGACGGCTGCAAAAAAAGTAAAGGCATTACAAAAGGCAGGAACGGAGTATAAGAAGATACTGGGAAAGGGACTTCACTTACGATTGGGATTCCATTTCTCCGGGAACGGCGTTTTTCCCTCAAGGATGATGTCCGAGTTCCTCACTCGGATGAACCGGCTCATCTAGCCCCGGTCTTTATCCTCGTCATGTCTAGCAAATAAGGCTTTGCTTGATCAACGTTGAAGCTTGATCAACCCTCGAAAAAGCTGAGGCCGATATAGTCGAATGAGGTGATTCAGGGTAAACTCTAATCCCTCGGCCTTGCTAGAGAAGTAACGCAGCATAATAGCGATAAGCCAGAAAGAGGGATGGATCTCGCCGAGGTAACTTCATATCTTTTGCAGAAGTCAATCACGACTAGATCAAGGGGACCCAATGTGAAGGGGTAAGTGTAAACACTTAAGAACCCCTCCACATGAGTAGTAATGCTCTCCTCGGGGTCGGGGATTTGTACCACGACCTCGTCCCCCCAGCCACAGTCTTTCTTCATGGCCTTGAGATGCTTCTTCGTTATCGAACTAATATATCGGGATACATGCTCGCATCAGCCTAGGATTGTAGGGGGATTTTCAATGCTGAAGTCTTTCTTTAGCATGCAGAGGCCGGGAATAATCTCGTGAAGGGCCCGCACCACAAGCTTGGCCGGCCGGAAAGAGGAGGAGGAAGCTTTCTCCTTTTGGGAAACTGTCTTTGAAGTTTTGGCCATTGATTCAAGTTAGATTAAATGGAGATAGGCGGAGTTTGGTATTAAAAGGAACGGGAGTAGCGGATAATCAGAGAAAAGACATGAAGAGAAGAAGATATAGAAGAAGATTAGAGGTGGCTTAAAGATTGAAGTAAAGCTTTCTCCGAAGTTAACCATTTTATTTATAGGCGAGCGACGACGGTTCAACGGCGCTAGTGGCAGACCACCATTAAAGAAGCATTTAATGTTTTGGGAAGCGAACAGACGGGACGTTTCGATCACTTCGAGCGCATACGTCACAGGAATGACGTCATCATCAAGGGCTCCGGAAAATCGAGGTTCAAATCGTTTCTTATCATTTTACTCTAAGAAATGCGGGGATTACCTATATACGGTAAAATCATGTGTCCCTAGTTTTGTGGGCTCGAGAGCTCACATCGAGAAACAGAGGGCTCGCATCGAGGGATAGTCTCAATACGGACCGGGTTCGAGTTCGAGGGCAGAACACCAAGCTCGAAGATCGAAGTGTACGATGAGTACCGAAGCCGAGTATGACCAACCCCGAGATGATGCCGTTATGGGTTTGTAACAGAAAGAGCAAGATTCTCGCCACGTCTCCAAGATCATGGCGTAAATTCCGGAATAGATTTGTACGAGTTTGTACGAATCCGTACTAGACAATTATACAGTTGTCCCAATTAGATTCTTTACTGTGAATAAAAAATGTACCTTATTTAGGGTTCCCCTATTATATAAATGGGACCCCAATCATTTGTAACCATCATCAATCACTGGCAAAGAATATACTCTCTTACTTTATTGCTTGTATTTGATCAGAATTGTCTCTTAGTTTCTTTATCTTTACTGATGTTGTTCTTGTTGACCAATCTCGAAGCCATCACAGCTCGAGGTCGAGACTTGCTTAAACACTGGTTTGATTCAATTTACTTCTATCATTTATAATTCAGATTTCTTGGTCATTAATTAATATTAAATTAAATCATGTATCTTTAAAATCATAAACAAATTTAATTATTACTCGTATTTTCGAGACAAACAATCTTTGTAATTACACATCGAAAGTGAGGGCTGATTCTAACCCCACATCAATTCCATCGTATCCTCTTTTACTTCTCCAGTAAAACCACTATTCCTTGTGTTAGTCTCATTCTCTATCTTTCTCGGCTTCTTCTTGCGCTATTTCTGATGCTCTGTATGTCTCTTTCGGTGAGTTCTTCTTCTCCCTCTTTCCTTTTTTATTTAGTTTTGTTCTTTTCAATCTTCTGGTTAATTTTTATTTTACTTTTTATATTTGTGTTATCTGTTTTTGGTTTACCTTTTGGGCTTCTCTTGACTTTTAAGTTTCCTAAGACAAATACTAAGAAAATGGTTGTGTTCATTCCTTTTGTCATGCTATCCTAGACACATGCTCTGCATTTTTCTCTGATTTTCAAGACATGCACAAGATTTTCTCATCAATTCCTTATTGCAATAAGCTTATGGGAATTAGCTTTCTATGGTTGTTGCTGTGAATTTCGCTTTTTTCTATCTGGTTATGGTTTGCCAAAACTAAACAAAATTGAATGCATAGTAAAATAGAAGGTTAATATGGTTTCAGAGGGCAAGGTTTTTTATTATTGTAAGACCCTGTATAAGCTTGAGGGCAAAGTTTAAATCTTGTTACATTCGAAAGAAATTTACTGATATTATGACTCAGGTTGTGCAGTGTATTTTGTGGATCTTACTATTTTTATTTAATGCATGACATTATAAAAAAAAAAACCAAATAAATTTCTTCTATTTTGTTAAAATTTAATAGTCAAACAATTTTGATTGCACAGGTTCTTGAAAGTGATAGTTGCTTTGGGGGGGGGGGAGGTGTAAGGAATATTGTTCCGAATGTAAGAGGTAATTCACGCTTTTAAACTATGAATGGCTTTCACTTTGTTTTCCATTCAACTCGAGCTCTTTTATAACTAATAATAAAGCCAATTTTGTGGAAATAGTGTCGGATTATTGAACGAATTTTTGGCAGGTTTCCGAAAAAATTGCATTTTGTTTATGCGTACTGATTTTGGGCGAGTGTCCTGCTTGATTGATATGATTTCACTTCTTAATATGATATTTTCCCTCTGAACTATTGCTCTTTTTTCTTGTCTGTTTGGTGTTTTTGTGTTCGTTATTTCAAACCCTTCAATGCTTTGAAGTTAATAGAAGACTGTTGTAGCCACATAATTGCTCTGGATTTAATTTAACTGTGTTGCCCTCACATCAAGGGCTTGAATCACCAAACTAGAGTGGAGGATGGAAATCAGCAAAAACACCAATGAACTAATCTTTTCTGTCATTGTTTTGTCTATTACTCTATCCACTCGATTTGTACTTTTTATTGTTCCGTTTCAGATATTTGCTTAAGAGAGCAGTAAATTCTTCTGGATTTAGGCACTTCTGGGTCAACAGCATCAGTTTCCCATTAACAAAAGAGATGGCCTTTTAAAAGTGGCAATGTAGTACTGATTCTTCGTTTAATAAATCCAAAAGAGGAACATGCTTTTTGTTGACTCATATAAGATGCCTTTTTGTGTTATATTGTTTTGTCAACCATTAAGGGTAAAATACTTTCAAAAACTCTGTAGGAGGAAAATTCGCCATAAATCAATATGCGTTGTGTGACATGCTTCTTCAATTTAGGAAAGATTTCCTAAGACAATAACTTATTGATATGTTCTGATGCTTTGGTAATTTATTATCTATATTATGTTTTGGTTTTCAGAATTTCCTCATTAATCCTATTGAAAACTCGCTGGCATTAAGAGCTAATTCGTATTCTACATTTCAGGGGTAAGCCCACGACACTCTTAAATTGATAAGAGTCCATCCCAAAGGGCTTCCTTAAAAAAATTTAAAATATTTGCTCAAATGTGTAACACATATGTATATGTTTATAGTCCTTTTCATCCTTTGCTATGTAAAGGACAAAATGCACCTACTTCTTATTCCACATAGCAAGAACAAAGACAAGAAGTAAGATCGTCAACTACATTTATATATTCAATTGGATTTTCAATAAATGCACTAACTAAACAATTCTTGTTCCTATATCAACTGCCAGTGATATTCTTTATTAACAAATCATATGATAAGTTAATGGTTAGCAGGAGTAGCAACTGAGTATAGGGGGATTGCCTTTTCTTTTCTTTTTTTCTTGTGGGAGGAGGTGTTACAGTATTTTTTTTTATCTGTTGGTGGGTGAGTCTCTGTATTCTATAGGTTGGACACCTGTGGGTTGCTTTTACTGATAGAATATTTACTTTTCAATAACTTGTGAACTGTAGTCTATTACCAATATATACCATGAGTTCACCAAGTTAATTGTACTTCTATTTTACTTTAGTATACAATTGATGCGCCCTTTGCATACATCATATTGGCAGGAGGTCAATATGGTATTGATGCTAAGGAAGGCAAGGAGTACACAAATATTGGGGGTTTGAACAGTTTGTAGCCTATCTCACCATGAAAGTCATGAGGTATTCTGTAATGATTGAAACTTATAAGGACTACATGGGAAAATATTGAATATTAGTAACTCCGACCTGTCCTTAAAATATACACCATCGGGTTTTGTTATCGTATGATAGCAGTTTGAGTTGCAAAGTCAATTTCTGCACACTAGATGTTGGAGGTTAGGTGTACCTTTTCACTGAATCATCTTGACTGTTACAGCCTTTAGGTGTAAGTAACTTCTTTCGAGAATAACTACTTAAGCAATAACATTGAAGAGAAGTCTTCTTGAGCTTGTCTTTACGCAAAAAGATCGATATCATAGGGTGTGTTTGGTATGAAGGGAAAATGTTTTCCAATTTTCCCATATTTGGTTGGCTTAAATGTTTTGGAAAACATCTTCCTTATCAACTCATTTTCCTCCAATTGGAGGAAAATGTTTTCCTTATCAAGAGAAGGGTAAAAC